ATGGTGATCAGCTAAACCCTGAGCATATGGCAAGATTCACCAGCCAGATACCCAGGAAATAATTTTCTGTAGTAACTCAGATTCCACCCCATCTAACTTCCCATCACAAGCCATTATGCCTATTTACCATGAATATTTAAAGATCAATTAATTACCAAAATCATGTTATCCCATCATACCATCTCCTCCATAAACTTATCGAGTTTAATCTTGAAGCAGGTTGATAGAACACTTTAGTCTTCTCAATATTGAGTGAGAGTCCTAGGCTTTGGTAAGCTTGTGCAAGAAAATCCAGTATGGTCATTCTCAGTGTGCCCGAGGATGACACAATCATCAGCATACTGAATATCAGTAATGGACACCCTGAAGACTTTAGACCTTGAGAAGAGACGTCAAAGATTAAAGAGTCGCCTATCCATTCTATATTGAATGTCAACTCCATTGGGGAGGTGATGAACTTTAACAAGGACCAAAATGACTGTTAAGTAGATGGAAAACAGGGCTGGGGCCACAACGCATCCTTGCTTAACCCCATTTTTCTGACAAAGGTTCCATCTCAAGGCCATTGCAGAAAACTGTGGCAGTCATCTGATCATGGAGAAGCCTTAGGACCTTCATAAATTTTGGAGGGAAGACAGATCTGGCCAGCACCTTCCATAGGGCTTTGTGATTGACAGAGTCAAAGGCCTTTGTCAAATCAAGGAAAGCCATGTACAGGTCCTGATTTTGCTCCCAAAATTTTTCCTGGATTTTGCATGCAACAAAGATCATGTCAGCTGTCCCGTGGGATGGTCTAAAACCACACTGAGATTCGGCCAATATTTCCTCAACAAGGGGAAGTAATCGGTTTAAGAGGATATGGGCAAAAATGTTCTTTGCTGTAGATAGCAAGGCAATGCCTCAATAGTTTCCACATCCTAAGTGACCCTAAATGTATACCAATGATAAGCATTAACTAACTGAAGGAGATTTTTCAAAGGTTCCAAGGAAAGGTAGGTACCCAATTCCCACTGATTTTCAAAGGGGAGCCCAACTCCTCTTTCAAGTTTCTGTAAAACTTGACACAAATGGCTTGAGTTGACGACCTCCAGTATTCTGAATCCCCTTTCTGTTCTCTGTGCAAGTGGATGTAGCCATGGCTCTGCTCCTTCCCTTTCCCCTACGGGCATCCCAAGAGATCCACAGAAGGAATAGGATATGTGCTCCAGAGAGCCACTGACCACAGCTGTGTCAGTTTGCTACTTAGGGGCATAAGGGAACAGCTCTGTGAACTGCCATGGAAAAACAAGTCACAATTTGGCTCCAAGGCCTACTCTTCATGTGGAAGTTGATTAGCATAGCTATTGTGGAATAAACTGTTCCACAATAGCTCCCTATGTGGACACAGTCTTCTAGAATTAAGGTGACTTTTATTCCAGCATAATGACTCCACTTTGAGAGTAAGAAACTAACAATATGGAAGGTGGGTGACAGAGGGAAACCAATGGAAGTTTTGTCTAAGTACTGAAAGTTTGGTCCTTAATAAGTGCCCTTATGTCTTGTTCTTGTATTAAAGCCAGAGAACATAAAAAGACCAAATAGACAAAACAAAAAGAAAATGCCAGTAGAAATTCTGGATTTTGGATTAAAATCAGCACTGTGTTTTTCTGTAAAGGGAGAGTTCCTGCTGTCTACTTATTGTCCTTAGTCATAACAATGATCAAGGCAGAGAGAACTACTTAGGCCCAGGTCTCTAATCTTTTAAATGTTTCTCACATACTAAAATTTAGGGATGCACAAACGTCCCCTGGCCTTGCGTGCTTACTCTGTTTAGGTTTATTAAAATCAAACCCCTTTTGCTTGTTTGTTTTCCCCACCATACCAATAAATCCCCTTATTTTCCAGAAACAAGCCTCTAGAGGCCCTCTTGAACTCATAATTGCTCTTAGCTTCAGTGATCTAATTGGAAGCTTAAAATGTATTCCCTTTGTGCAGGTTTCCGTGGTATTCTGAAGCTCATGGTATTCACGCTGACTCTTGCTCTCCTTCATCAAACATTGAGTATTTCCTTTCTGTCCACATTTTCCAATTAACTCTGAAATTTGCTCAAGGGCTCCACTCACTCCACAACCTTTACTCATCTGTGTGGTCTCAGTCATGGGTCAGATTGAGGTGGCTCAGTGACCTGAGTTATCTTTGGTGACTGTATCTAGTGTTCTAGAATATTAAACACTCTTTTACAAAATAGAAACAGAAATCTCTGGCCCTTCTTCTTTGAGTGATGTCCCAGTGGGTGCTCAAGTTCAGGTGTCTGCCTGAGGGCTCAGATACACACACCAGTTGTGCCACTTTAACTATATCAGTATAGTTAAAGCAGTCCCAGCCCCCCTAGTCTAGACACAGTTATAGCAGTACAAGGATGCTTTATACTGGTATGGTTATTCCAGTAAGGTAGTGGCACCAATTTAAATATTTCTGGGGGTGGGGTGGGGAAGAGTAAATTCCAGTCCCTGCCCCTTAGGTTTGCTAACCCTTATTAAATCTCACTTTTTAAAAATGATATGCAGCATGCATGTCAATTTGTTTATTAAGTCAAAGTTTAGTCTCAGTGACATCTGTGCCACTCCATTGAAGTCAAAGGAATTACACTTGCATAACGGAGGGTAACATTTGGATTCTCCTGGAGTCTCCAGCAATTAAAGATTAATCTTTAATTAAAGATTGTCATGTGATGAAACCTCCAGGAATACATCCAACCAAAGTTGGCAACCCTACTGCCTCTTCCCACAAGGACAGTATTCTGGTTCCTGCTTTTCCCTCACCTGCTGCAGGGCCCCTAGGTTTCCTAGGGTGAGGAGCCTCCCCTCACTCTTACTCACACAATGCATGAGCAGGTGCTTTCAGGAGTCAATTCTTGGTGGGTTTCAGAGTAGCAGCCATGTTAGTCTGTATCCGTAAAAAGAAAAGGAGTACTTGTGGCACCTTAGAGACTAACCAATTTATTAGAGCATAAGCTTTTGTGAGCTACAGCTCACTTCATCGGATGCATACAGTGGAATGTATGCATCCGATGAAGTGAGCTGTAGCTCACGAAAGCTTATGCTCTAATAAATTGGTTAGTCTCTAAGGTGCCACAAATATTCCTTTTCTTTTTAAATTCTTGGTGGACTCCCATGCGCTGTGCCATACAGGAACAGACTCCCAGTGTGACAGGTCACAACACCATTTGTCTGGCTGCTCCTCTCTCTGGACAGGGGGCTGCCGGGCTAAAGTTCAGTGCTGTTGCAACCCTGTGTGCCAGGTTGCAATCCCACTCCCTGAGACTTGTCTGAGTCAAATTTCAGTGGCACTGCGACCACACAGTTGAGTGATGCTCCGGCACCAGCCACTACTGAGTTCGTACTGAGTTAATACAGGACCACTGTTAAGAATTGGTCAGGCCATGCCCTCCGCAGCTCTGAGGCCTATGGCACTTCAAGCGAGTGCAAAACCTTGGGAGGGATGTGGGGGGGGGCATTAACTACCAAACCTCTAACCTAAATAGTTATACCAGCACAACATCTATGTGTAGACCAGGCCTGAATCTGCCAGCAGTCTAAAAGAATATTTCTAAGAGGTGTAAACTGCTGCCATGGAGCACAGTGGGATGTTAACTCCGAGGCCTAACCATGTTGTCATTTAAAGTGTGTCTGTTGATCAAAGCACTCACACAAAAGGGGAAAGTGTGATCTTATTACAAAGATTTGCACAATCTATTTAATGCATCTCACTTTGACCTCACATCTGGGCACAGCTTTGGAGAGTACCAGCACTTATTTTTTTCCCTGTCTGACCACTGCTCTGACTGGCATTAATAAGACTTCTCATGTAATTGAAAGAATGCAAAATGTTGGCCCCACTGAAGTCCCTGGCAATACCCCCTTTGACTTCAGTGGGAGCTGGATCTGGCCCGCATGAAAAAACGCTGCAGTAGAAGATCTATTATTTTGGAAACTTAGATCTGTTTTAAATCACTGTCATATCTACTAGTGTTCCTCATAGTTCTTTTTGGTAACTAATGAACCAGTTTAGGAGCATCACATTTTAAAGAACATGCATTTAACTAAAGTAAGTTGTTGTTGCAAACTGTCTGAAAGGGTTTCTGAGAATGCTAAATACTGTAAGTAGTTCATCCATAAATAATGTTACAAACATTGCTACATTTTTAATGGGTGGTTTGCCAAAATGAGTCTGGAATCTGCTTGTGGTTCCAGTGATACATAAAATTCTGTTTTTATAGATCTACTTCCCATCCCCCAAACCCCATCCCAGGTTTTTCTAGAAATGCTCTCTTGAGCACTTGCTTGCAGCCATGCCTTGCTGCTCCATAGGGGAGAAGGAACTCCTTTTACCGCTGCCTCATGCTGCACCCATACAACACAGGGCAGGCGTTGGCCCTCTGCTACAGCCAGATTGTGATACCCTTACTCACGCTGAGAATAACTTCCTCTAGGATAGGACTGCTCAGAGTAAGCTACTAGTCAGAGTGATAAGGGCACCACAGTCTGGCCCTTATTAAACCTCACTTTTTAAAAATGATATGCAGCATGCATGTCAATTTGTTTATTAAGTCAAAGTTTAGTCTCAGTGACGTCTGTGCCACTCCACTGAAGTCAAAGGAATTACACTTGCATAACAGAGGGTAACATTTGGTGTAGTGCTGCCTAAGCTGCAATTGCACTGTTTAGTGGTGATCAAGGTATCTTGGGCACTATTGTTAACTGAACATGAGGGCATAAAGGCGGCGTATCTGGTATTCTTTTGCTTCTACAGTTTGTTTCCAGAGTAGTAACCTCCACCACACTGGCATTATCTATTGTATTGCAGTTACTACCAAAATCTTACAGTGGGTTTCATGTTACAAGAACGTGTGTGTGTGTGTGTGTGTGTGTGTGTGTGTATAAATCTACTTTAATACTGCACATGTTCTCCAAGCACATACAAAGCCATCGATACTGTGCTTCTATTGCCCTTCCACTTACTCTTCTTTCCTGTGAAGTGCTTCCTCAGACTCTGTAAGACGTTGCTTCAGTAGAGCAATCATCTCAACTGCAACGTCCACCTGTCTGTTCAGGTCCCTCTCTCGCCTCTGAACTTCCTGTTTCTTCTGAGACAGCTGCGCAAAAGCGGCCCGAACTTCCAACAGCTCAGCCGTTTTTTGGGCCAGCTCTTTGGTAAGCTTGTCAATTCTCTTCTCTATTGTTTTATCTACAGCTTCTACCATCCTATTAAACTTGTCTCGTACATGTGCCTCAAAAGAGGCTTTGGAGTCTGTTGTTGGAACCCACGGTTTAGAAATCTGCTCATCTGTGAAGTCTGCTGACCCGTAATTTGCCACAAAAGAGACAGGCCTTTCAGCTTCCATCTCCAGTGATTTTCTGTTCTTTGGGTTCTCATGTGAGCTGTCACAAAAATTTATGTAGGATGGTTTCTGTTTTATTGCATTGCTGGTGTTCCCCAGTTTTCCTTGAGTCATGGTCTCTGAGGAAGAGAGCAAGTCTGTATCTTTGAGGGAAGAAAAGAGGTTGCATTTTGTCAGAAGGCTTCTTTCTTCATACCTATGATTATACTCCAGATGTGCCCTCAGAGAAGAAAGGCTTCTGAATCTAGTGTGGTCACCACATCGTGGGCAACGAAATGGCATGCAGATGCTGACATTTTCAAATGACTCCTGCCAGGGGTGTCTGCTTTCTTCAAAAGTGTGCTGTTGCATTACTCTCTCAATCCTGGAAGGAAAGAAAGGACCAACTAATTTTCAGGTTTGTTCAAAAAGATGCTCATATTTTGCTAATACAAACCAAGAAGTAAGAACAAACTTTCAGACTGATTTTTCAAACTGGTTCCTGGGAAAGCAAATTCAACCATCTCATTCGAATGGCAGCACATCACACAGCAGAATAAAGTCAACAAATTAATTTGTAACGTTTTTAGCGGCCTCAAAGCCCTCATTAGGCTCTCATTTAAACGGAAACATCATGATAGTGAGAGCAACTGACCCTGTAGCACTTAACAGTCAGACTACATATATATGAAAAGCTAGCCTGTTGTACAATGTTAGTCTGTAGTGTAGCATGCTCAGAAACTAAATAGCTTACTATGCTTTTTCATATATTCATTATTATTCCTTACTCACAGATAAAGGCCAGTAACAAGGATTTTTATATTCATTATGTTGACTAGTAAGCAATAAGACCTGATAACTGTTTCCGTTAATATGACAAATCTAAAATTGTACCTGTGCATATATATACATGCAGATAGGTGAAAGTACTGGTGGTGACATGAACTCAGCAAATGGGGACAAATGGGGGCTGGGTAGCTTACACACAGAAAAGCTGAAGGGGGGTGGCAGAGGGATGCAAGAAGAGGACTTCAAGCAGAAGGGGGCAAAGAGAGGCTACTTACACGCAGAGGAGTGCAAAAGAGGGGGGCTGTGCAGTGTGCATGTGGAGGGCACAAAGATGTTTAAGGTACAGTGGATTAAATAAGACAAGGTCACTATTTCTGCATGGGCTGGGGAAGATTAGGCAGAGCTCCAACCTCTCTCTACTGCCTGTGTGTATTTGTTAGGCGACCCATCGCCCCCTATGTACGGTGCCTGATGCTGCCTCCCTGGATTCCCTAGACCCAGTTCTCCGAGGGCTCTGAGCTCAGTCCAGTTCCCTCAGGCACACCCCTAAACCCCATTCCTCCCTGCACTGACAACACATGCACTGATTGCAGCAAGCACATCTTTTCTCTTCCTCCCCCCCCCCGCCTCCAGGCTCTGTGGTGCAGAGAGCAAGCACTTACCCGACTTGTTGCTGCTGCTGCTGGTGCTGAAGCTGCGGGGAAAGCAGTTTTCAGCAGAGCCGTAAATCACGCTGAGCCCAGCACAGTCACACTTATTCACACCCCCCTCTCTCATTCATTCACACCAACACATAGAGCTGAGCAGTGAGCGGGGAGGAGCATCTGGAGGAAGGAGGGGGCTGGGCTAAAGCGGAGAGCTCAGGCAGAGCACAAAGCAAAATCCACTTCAGGCCAGCATAGAAGGAGCAGAAAAACAGCCTGCATAAAGCAACTGGAAACAGAGAAGATGAGAGAGGGAAAGGAGAGAGAGCAAGAGAAATCAGCGTCTAAGTCTAAACACGTCATCTGATCATTTAATATAGAAGCAAACGAGTGCAAACCAGACACAAACAATTTAATGACAAGTAATGATACGGAGGAGGGAACTAAGCATTTTGCAAGGCAAGAACAATACTGAGCCAGTAGGACATATTGGGTAAAATCCTGGTTCTGCTGCGGTTGACGGGACTTTTGCCATTGTCGACACATCTTACTGTCACTGACGTGTTGATTAGATGGCAGCGTAAGCTGATGTAAGTGTAGTAGGGTTTGCAAGTTTGTATTTTGAATTATAGTAAGGGTATGTCTGTGCTGCAAGCGCTCCAGCAACACAGCTGCCAAGCTGCAGTAAGTGTAATGTAGCCACTTGCTCCAGAAGGGGTTTTTCTACTGCTGCAGTAAATCCACCTTCTCAAGAAGTGGTAGCTAGCTCGAGGGAAGAATTCTTCCATTGGCCTAGCTACGTCTACAGTGGGAGAATGGGTAGGCTCACCTCACTATATTGCACAGGACATGACCGTTTTCACAGTCCTGAGCAATGTAGCTAAGTCGGTCTAACTTTTAGCTGTAGACCAGGGCTAAGTTGCAAGTAACAGAGGTAACTAAGGCCCCAATCCATGCAGGTAGACACCTGTTTGTTTGGCTGCCATTTGCAGGCATGGGGCCTGGCTACACTAGAGAGTTTAGTGTGCCACTGTAAGCTCTCTAATGTAGCTGCTCTAAGCTGAAGGGAGAAAGCTCTCCCATCAGCTTTATTCCAGCCCCCGTGAGTGGCAGTAACTACTTCACTCCCGAGCAACGTAATTTATGCCGACATAAGATGTAGTGCAGACATAGCCTAACAGATTCCACCGAAGGACGTGATTGTATTGTTTGTACCTTTATAGATCTCCTTTAGCTCCTTCACCCTTTTCTTTCTTTTCTTTTTCTGATTTGTGGACCATGATCTTTAAGTCCTTTATTTGCTGAGTCAAACTCCAATTCCCAATATTAAGCCTTGTAACAACATTGCCTTTTGCTTGTCCTTTTTGCATTTCTTACCCAGCATTATCTGTTGGAGTTCCTTTTCCAGTCTGTCCCAGTATCCCCCAAATACATCTGTGGGTAGTCCACAGGGTCCTCCTTTGGATTCAACTCACCCCTCCGGTGCCCTGTATTTGCCAAATTTGAACACTTCTAATGACATTGCTAAGCTTCTGGGTTGTGAACCTTGACCGAAAAGCTACACGTATAATAAATTACACATTATCTGTTCCAGATGCATGGATCCTGGTTGAGTCACAGCACCACTAATGACCTCTGAGATGGATGACAGCGGGATGACCTCTGAGACCTCTTTCCATTCGGCTTCCCAAGAGCTCAGTTCCAGCTTTCGTCACTCAGGTATCCTTATTCGGCACACAGCAGCGCACTGCTGATTAGATTCAAACACGGGGGAGATGGGGCAGATGAATGCAGGGTACATCACATCTCCAAAGTTACACAGAAACCCTCTCCCTTTATATACATTACATATCTCCTTGCATTCCCTATACATTATATAATTTATTGATTGGATTGGCTACTTCACAGGAACCAATCCCTGTGCAGCATGTGCTGTCCGTGCACTGCCCATACTTCGACTTCCTCTTTACCTGATCTCTATATTCCTAACTTATTATGTCCCTTGTTATCTAGCTCATAATAAATAGTTCCCTGGGTGTTCTCCCTCTTCTCTTAGTTGGCTCAGACATTCTGTCTTTTTAGCCTACTGATGTATTTACTTATCTTATTTAGCACAAACATTCTGTTTTCAACCTGATGATTCATTTATATCCCTAATTCTATCTTCCAAAAAATGAGCCATCCTTCCATGTGTTAATTACTCATGTCGGGCCAGGCCTCAGCTACAATAATAGATTAGACATTGATCCCTTGACTAGAAAATGAGATTTTTAATCATTTATAATCTTGACCATTGAACATACTTTTGCAAATTTTGGGAGACTATATTAAGGCTGTCTAGGAAGTATAAGTCTCTTGGAATTATAGTGAAGTGTCACTGTTCTAAAATGTAGTGTTTGAGACCATTATTGTCAAATGTTATGGGTTGGTGAGATGATATCTTTTATTGGACCAACTTCTGTTGGTGAAAGAGACAAGATTTTGAGCTTACACAGAGCTCGTTGTCACAGCTAAATACAAGATGGAACAGATTGTTTAGCATAAGAAGTTAACACATATTCTAAGAGACTGGTCAAGGTGAAGTGGCCCGTTAGCAGCTCTGCAGTCAGAGGACACAAAATGGAGGTTAGTGGATTACAGCTTGTTGTAGTAAATCATAAATCTTCATGTTGTGATAGGCATGTGTAGGATCCATGGATCTTGAAAGGTGTGTGGTGGGGGCACTGATCCTGGTAGTAGTGGAGCTATGTCTATTAGTTTTACATCTGTTGTTGTTGCAGGGTCTGGTGCTGCTTTGAGTTGGTGGGTCCTGGTCTGTGGGGAGCTTGCTTCTGATGATGAGCTTGGTGAGACTGGGGGGTTGTTTGAAGGCCAGAAGAGGGGATTCGGGAAAGGTTTCTTTCAGGATGAGTATGGGTTTTAATAGTTTAATGATACCCCATGTCACGTGTTTATGGGTTGTTTTTTAATGTGGGAGAGATAAATGTTTAGCATTGATATAGTACATTTCTTTAATAAGTGAAGTATATTGACAGAGCTCTAGACATTCGAAAATAGGGGCACACTGATAAATGCCTTTGAGGTGATTAAGGCTAAAGATTCACCAGAACAGTACCTCAGAGGAAGTTATTCCTGTTGAAACTCAGAGCATCATCTTCTAATCCCTAAAGTGTGTGTACTAGCCAGACTGAAACTTTTTGTAGGAGTTATTTGTCCTCCATTATGTTGTCAAAAAAGTGGTAATCTGACCTTCTGCTCTGACCAAGTGTTACCGACAAAAGGAAGGGGCCAAGAAATGTTGAACCAGGAAAAGCTCCAAAGCTATGAATTACAACATTAATCTTTTTGTTTTTTTTGTGGGAGGCTAACTTTGGAAGTTTTAATGACCTGATACTGTCCCTACTCTCTCTTGTGTTCCCCTTTACTGCTCTGTTATTTGTCCTCCCTCCCCCCCCCCCCACATGCTGCTCCACAATGGGAGGCAGGAGCATTCAATTATGCCACTCAGAGGCTGGACTGAGTGTCACAGGTGTACCAGGCTTTAACTTGGGCTGTCAGGGTGCTACACGAGCCTCCATCTGTGTACACAGGAGCTGCTCTTAAAGTTGGCTACAACAGGGACCACCATGGAATTAGGAAGGGAAAATGAGTGGCTTACAAGGAGCCACTTGCCAGTTTACCTGCAACAGCAAGGTTGGATCTAGGGTCCTGTAGCTCTCCAACTCCTCCTACTCCTTTCCTCTTCCCTGACTTCACAGGGGCTACTGACATGCTTAGAGTGAAGTATGTGCAAAAGTGTTTTGATGGATCATGTCCTTAGTATGCATCTGTTTAGTTTTCTATTCCTAAAGTTAACAGTATTGGCGAGTAGCCTCCCCTTCATATGCAAGTAGGAGTTATGTGCATTTTTGCAGAGAGAATATACTTCATTCTCTTCATCTGAGTTTAATCTACTGTAATTTAAATCTGAAATTGGCAGAATTTAGCACTAACACCTAAATTACGCAAAGCCCAAATTCACACAGCTACAGTATATGAGTCATGTTTGAAATCTTGCCAAGAGATGGGAGGGTATTTTTCAGGTTATTTGTATGCACAGGTTTTAGTCAGGATCTTTCCAAGCACTTTAAGATTTCCAAAAAGGTGAAAGTCACACAATGGTTTAGAGTGCGAACACATAGGGAGATGTATGTGAGGGGGAGAACTAGAAGTTAAGGGTGCTCAGCATTTACTGCACATTACTGAAACAAATAATTTTACAAATCTAATGTACCTATCTCTGTTTATGTTTTTTGTTTCCTTTTTAAATTTATTTCAGTCTGGACATGTCAGTTTCACTTTTGTTTATAGTCACTTCCGCTGTCAAGTTCACAGTGCCACAGTCTTTGAGCTGCAAGGTGAAATTTTGTTGTTGTTGTTGTTTTTATTTTATTTTCCTAGTGGTAGATTCAGATTCATTATGATCTCTTTAGCTTGCATTCATGGACGTTGCCCTTCCTGGTTTTTTTGTTTTTTTTAAAAGGGCCAGAAGATGGGGCTGAATGACAGAATTTTCAGATTTTTACCAAGGCCTTCGCTGTGCTACTCAGGGCCCCAGTTATTTTCTAGGTACAGTCAGGTAGACTTAGTGCTGTGATTTTTAAAATATTATGCTACAGTATTGATTTTTTTTTTTAAACTGAGCAATAGATTTTCACTGTATGCTCAAATCCTGGTCAAGGGACCCAGCACTGATCTCAAATCAGTTTTATACTAGTGTAGCTACACTGAATTCAGTAGCTATTCCTGATTAATACCAGGGTAAGTGAACTAAGAATCTGGCCAAGTATTTACTGCATATCATTTACATATAGGTGTATGCTTGTATTTGTCAGCAATGGTGTATTTTTTTCACCTGTACTATGAACAGGAAAGTGCAGTATTTTTCTTTCTAGTGTTAATGAGAAGTAATCACTGTCACAAATACACATGCTAATTTGTAGTACTGATCCCTATCTGTTACTGATACTGGGCCAAATCCTGAGTTCATTACTGAGTCCATCCTTAGTGTGTGGAATGGGCATTTGCCTGAGTACTGATGAACTAAAATCCCAGTGAAGACTTAAGGGTTTTACCCATGGAATTTTTAGCAATTATTAATTACTTGTATTACAGTAGCA